AAAAAAAAAAATATTTTCTTGATGCAAGCTTCATTTAACCGGTGTGGGGTCCACTGATGTTTGTATGTATTGGAAATTGTACCCAAAAAGTAGTAAAAATAATCCTAATATTTTCCCCTTTTTCTACTACCTCAAAATGCATGGCCGCAATTGGCATGCAGAAAAAGTGAGGTTATGTAAGTGACATCACCTTATATTTATTTCACCATGGGGTTTACCCATGATAAAAACCAAGGCATATTAAATAAGGTAGAAGTGATTTTGACATGNTGAGGTTATGTAAGTGACATCACCTTATATTTATTTCACCATGGGTTTTACCCATGATAAAAACCAAGGCATATTAAATAAGGTAGAAGTGATTTTGGCATGTCTCTCTTTTGACTATAATGTCAAATGATGAATAACTTTTAACCGTTTTCATGTCGGCATTTTCTATTTTTCGTTAAAAATTCAATTGCGTGCTGTGAGATAGTTTTGAATCGTGTGATGTTTTTTTTTTTGTTTTTCGACCACATCTTTATAGATACATATACAAAAATGACAAGGAGCAGGAACTACGAGCGTTGCGGTATGTGTGGCAAGCAGTGTTGCCAGAACTTTTTGGACCAACCGGTTAAATCGGCAAAAAAAAACCGGCTAAAAACGGCTAAACTGTTTCAGCTAAATTTTATTTAAATAAATCACAAGTAGAAAGTAGTTCTTGGAGTTTGTAAATTCAAGCTGGAAAAAATGTTGCCAGCAAGAATTCGCAATTGGGAAAAACATACGATTGTGGCACATGGTTGGATTTTTTGCCGACGAAAATTTGAATAAACAAGTTCGCTAAATTTCAAAATTTACGAACTTGGGCGATTTTAAAATGAAAAATGTAAGCAAATACTTGTTTACTTAACTCATTTAGTTAATTCCAATAAAAGGTACTCAACCAGAGTCGATTTAGGAAACCCGAAAGTTACTACGACAAAGAAATTGAGTCGTATGTTGAAGAAAGTCGGACTAACAAGAAATATACATGTAGATCCTGTTTTCCCACTCTAAACGAATTTTAAAAATTCTGTACAAATTTATTATGTTTGAAATGCAACCGTGGACACTTGCTGGCAGGGATACTTGCAAATTCCTGCAAATTTGCGTTCGTGCAGAAATTTGCAAGTTTCTCTACTTGAGAGAGAATTTGGGAGCATTTTTTCTTACTATCCGATATTTTGAGTGATAATTCTCGCTGAATTCTCGACGAACAAACCTATTATCTTCCAGAGAGTTTGATGTATATAGAAATTTGTGCTCTTTTATTTTCACCGTGACAAATTTTAGTGTTGGTTCCTTTAATTCAAGTTGGCCTACGGTTTTTGGAATTTAACCCTAGAACACTAATGTTAGTCGATCGGACTAATACAGTTTGTTTTGTGATGAAGTTTTTTGAAAATTCACTTCTTGAAATTGAAAGTTCATTACTTAAACTACAACACAACAAAACTTTGTTTCATTTTACTTAGAAAGTATTAAAATAATAATGTCTAGAATATTTTTTGACGATTGATACGTTAAAACTTAAAAAAAAGTCAGTGTTAAATACATGTTAGTCGATTCGACTAATAATTGGTGTTTACGTATTAAAAATATGATTAGTGTTCCAGGGTTAAATAAGTTCTCAGCAAAAAAGTTTGTTAAAAAAAAACAAAAAAATAGGTGTACATAGTTGCTTGAAAATATCAATTTTTCCCTTACCTTAAATCTTTAAGCGTGGGCAACAATGATTAGTTGTAATTAAGGCAGTATTGAATATGCGCTATCTGGGAAGACAATTAGTGGATTCCCTTAAACTCGTAAAGTCTTAAACTGTGTAAAACTCGTAAGTGTACGAGGCTTTTATGGGAACGCCCCCTTTGTGAAAAGGTGTAAATAGGTGCGTAAAGTGGCTGTTTGACAGATCAACCAGGATTTTGTGAAGCAATTTTTGTTTCGTAGCATTTTCCGTAACATCCCGCCGTCTTGTCTCTATAACTCTTGGCTATAATACAATTAAAAATGCCGCAAATTATCACAAAACCTAAGTCAATACCGTTGAAATTATTCATTTTATTCCCTTATTATTTTTTATTTTTTTTCATTTATTTTCATTATACTTTACGCACCTATTTACACATTTTCACAAAGGGGGCGTTCCCATAAAAGCCTCGTAAACTTACGAGTACGGTTTAAGACTTTACGAGTTTAAGGGAATCCCCCAAGAGAAACAATTTGTTATTTTCTAAATTTACGAATAAGACTTCACACTTAAATTTGAGACATTCATATCTAACAAACATTTTATGAAGAAAATCCCTGCTACGGCCTTCTTTAGAAAAAATATATGTATTCGTTTAAAATAAAAATAATCGAAATCGGCCCAATTTTATAAAACTCTGCCTGGCATGAAAATTTTCTTCGCGATAAGGCTATCCTATATGTATATGTATGTGTAAAGATAATATTGAAGTAATTCTTAAAATTAGTATACGTACAAACATAGCACTCGCATCTCAAAGGGTTAATTTGTTTGTTTACAGTTTTTTGACATTATAACTAGCTACAAGAGACTTCGAGCTAGTTGTCACTTCTACCTCATTGAATATGCCTCGATAAAAACCATGGTACAAATATTTATTTATTTATTTAATCAAATGGAATAAAATCCTTACTGACTATAAAACAAGAGAGCTTATACACTACCTAAAATAATTAAGCAGGACAAAACGAACTGTTCCAGATGAGAGAGACGGATCATATTCAGAGAGCTCATTTAGCTCAGAAAGGGTTCTGAACAATGGCGAGAATTTTACGTAGTTAGTTTTTGGAAATCCCAGGTAGTATAAAGAAACACGACGCAGATTATGAGACGGAACGTTTAATGCTAACTTATCCAAAAGATTAGGAAAATCGACTGTGCCCTCCAATATTTTGGCCACAAAAGAGGCTGCGAGGAAAAAACGCCTAGTATTTAGCGAACTTAAATTAAGAAGTTGACAACGAGAAGTATACGGAGGTATAGGTTCAGAAAATTTTAGAGAACGCAAGGCAAATTTAATAAAAACTTTTTGAATCTTCTCAATGCGGTTTATATAGACGGCCTGATAGGGACGCCAAATGAAAGACGCATACTCTAGCCTAGATCTCACTAACGTGACATAAAGAAGCTTCAGAGTTTAGGGACCCTTAAACAACTGACCATTACGACGTACGAATGCTAGCATTGCATAAGCCTTGGAAATTACGTAATTAATTAATTTTGAGTCGAAGTAAACCCCTAAGTCTTTAACCTCTGCGACATAATTAAGATCATGGCCCCCAATATTGTAATTGGTCTGAACGGTAAGAAGCTTTCTGGTGAAAGTGGAATAGGAACATTTACTAACATTTAAAGATAAGGAATTAAGAGAGCACCAAGAATGCAGGTTATTAAGCTCAGCTTGCAGCAAAAAAGAGTCTTGTGAGGTTCTGATCACTGAGTAAACATTTAGATCGTCAGCATATAATAAATACTTAGAAGACTGGAAGCATGATCCAATATCATTCATGAATAAGACAAATAAAAGAGGGCCCAGATACTGCCTTGGGGAACACCCGACGGAGCTACAAAAGGAGTGGAGAGTACGTTATCAAAGCAACTGTACAACGCCTATCGTACAGATAGGAATTAATCCATTCCAGAAAAGTGGAATGAAAACCCAATCGCGATAACTTATTAATTAAGACTTTATGCGAAACTCTGTCGAACGCCTTCGAAAAGTCTGTGTACACAACGTCCGCTTGTAGACCTGACTGCATCGCAGCAACACAGTCCTCCATGAATGTAGCAAGGTTGGAGACAGTCGACCTCCCACTTACAAACCCGTGCTGGTAAGGGAAAATTAAACTTTTCACTGCGAAATTGAGCTTCTGTTTGACAACTGATTCCAAAACTTTTGGGACAGTGACCAGTTTGGAAATAGGCCTATAATTCGAAACGTCGTTCTTGTTTCCACTTTTGTAAATTCGTGTGATGAAAGCATTTTTCCAGTCGTCAATAAAGTAACCAGACGAAAGAGATTTATTGAACAATATTGTTAATGGCTGAACAAGCGATGGGCAACGTTTGAGAATAGCACCTGAGAGGCCATCAGAATCTAATTTAAAAGGGTGCTTTATGGAACAGGTATGGAAGAGGGTAGCGTTCAGAAGCCACATTAGAATCCGAGACATAATTGGAGGAGAAAAATTCTGCGAAGAGATTGGCTACCTCAGCAGGTGTGTTAGCCTCCTTGTCATTCAAAAAGACTGAGGACGGCACACTCGACTTAGCGTTCTTAGATTTTACAAACCTCCAAAATGCTTTAGGGTTGTTTTTAATGTCTGCTTCACTTTTGCTAATAAACTTATTATAGAGAATCTTGTCCAAGGAATTAAAGTTCCTAAGGCAGTACTGATAACTGACAAACACAGATTGGAACCTAGTTGCCCTAAATCTTTTAAAATGCCTATTTTTACGATTTTTGAGTCGCTTTAGATCCTTGTTGTACCATGGTAACTTGTACAACTTCCTTGTAATTAAAGGCACTATTTCTACACACGCCTCATATACACTACTTTTAAAAACTTTGTATGCATCGTTAGCGTCCAAATTACTGAGTATGTGTTTCCAATCATAATCATGAAGACGGCTATTTAAGAGTTCAAAATTGCACGAACTAAAGTTAAAAGTTGGTCGGCATCTCTCAAGAGGAACAGTAGCGAAAACATAAAATTGAATATGAACTTCCATAGGAATATGATGATTATTTGCGCGAGTTATTGGGGATGGGCATTCAGACACCCAGTAACTTACATTATTGCTAATGAAGATTAGATCTAAAATACGCTAAAATTTATTTATAATTCCATTAATTTGTTGAAGACCAATACTTAGGAAACTATCAGTTACGTATAACTCACTGTCTGTAGTCGCATTAACCGTGGTAAAAGACGAGGAGGTATTAAAGCTATCCCAGGATACATTACACAAATTAAAATCACCAAGTACACAGAGGTCGTGTTCGCCAATCCTTGAACTGAGATTCAAAACATTGTCAACGTGCGCTCTATATATGTCGAAGCAACTGCTCGGTGGAATGTAAGAGACACATACAAACAGAAGTTCAGAGGAACTCCGAACATTCACGCACAACTGCTCGAGGATAGAATCATTATTTTGAAGATGAACCATCGACGAGCACAATCTACGCTGAACTGCTATAAGCACTCCCCCCCTCTGGACAGGCCCGACCTGATTTCGTCGCGGTCCTTACGATAAACATTATATAGATGGGGATCG